AAAAAAAAAAAAAAAAGGGAAAGAAAGAAAAATAGTTGGTGAATAAATACATTAAGAATATGGATTTTCCATTGTTCCCATTTTAGTAACAAACACTAACACGACATTCAATTTTCTATGCGTCCAGACTCCAGATTCACGGCCTCAAACGGAAGTTTAATTCTAATGAATCAATCAAAGGGGATTATTAGTTTAGTGTAATATTCTTCCATTATGCATCGTAGGCGCCATTGTAGTCTACTTGGCCACCTCCACTGCCCTCTGAAATAATAAACGGAGAAAATAACGATGAATAAAAAAATGCAAAAATGAAAGATTTTTAAAGATTTGCCGTGTTACAGAATACATGTACTCCATTTTACAGTACCGTTCATTAACCACGAATAATAGTTCATCAAGTCGAGGTTGAAGTTTCCGCGCATAGCAAAACTACAGTTTATCATGCTCGGTAACTCCAACCTCGGTTTGAAACTATTATTCTTGGTTACTGAACGAAACGGTAAAATGGAGTATCGTTACATCTAATGAACCAATCACAATGCGCGAGATTACTTCTCATCCAATCAGAATGCTTGAAACTGGTTGCGTATATCATTGACACCTGAGAAAAACCTAGATAGTAAGTGCAACCGTGGGAATGAATGAAAGAGTTTGATTGGCTGAATGTGATACTGATTGTGTTCTAGGACCTGATTGGCTAGAGTTTTCATTCTACATCGTGATTGGTTAGTTTTTTGAAAGTTTTCTCAGTTAGTGTCTTCGTATTGTAAGACCTTATTCGTTGAAGTGCGATGTTTTCCCATTACAGATAACTTGTCGTTATCTTTGTTTAAGTTGTATTCATGTCCATGCTTACATGGAAATACAAAAGAAACGCCACCAATGCCATCGTGTGCTTTCTTCTGTATTTTCATATTAGGCTGGCATTCACGATAATTTTAAGAAAAGCGGAAGATTCCCGAGTCAATATGACGCTTCCAGGACAGTTCACTTACCTTCAGGTATCCTGTAGACGAAGTTTGCGTGAGCTTTACCAACGCAGTTATTTGAGTCCTCCGCATTACATGCTTGGTAAAATGAATTAACACAACCAGAAGAAGCACCATCCCTTGCATAAACGCGAGAAGCATCCGGTGCACTAAAGCATTCACCATAATACTGAAGGCCAAAGTGTGTGTAGCCTTTCGCCTTCGCTGCCTTTGCACATCGACATGCTAAGCTATAAGAAGATAGATGATTGATATTAATTATTTAACGTAACCGGAGCTAGAACCAGGAGAATAACCCTCGAATCAAGGGAGGGACTCAACAAACTCTATTCATATGTGTCGGATCAATGTTGCGTCGCGAAATCAAATCCAAGACCCTAGGGATTCGGGCTAGTTTACTTGACGTCATCGTGAGAAAATTGATTTTCATCAATTTCCCCTGGTGCCATCATATCCGTGCGTACGACCGTAAAAAGATGTCCGTGGAAAAAAGTACAGTATGTAGACTTACTCCTTCAAGTACGATTCATAATCACTCCAGTCTATGAGTTTCCCGCTTGATTTAGGACTTTGCCTACTTCGATCTGTGAAGAGGAGTTCGTTCAAGACTTTGTTTGATCCAAGGCCGTTATCTTTGAAGCATCCAACTTTGACAAACTGGGCCTCGCAGACTCCACGCTCTACGGCTAATGGCTCCTCTAGAATAATACAAATATATATATGATATATGAATCACATGTACGATGTGGGTTGAAATGTCGATCAAAATTGCACCGGTACAGACAAAAATATGATTACATCGAGGGAGAAAAAATGGGGGGAAATGAGAAAAGAGAAGAAAGGAAAGAAAGAATGGAAAGGAACGAATGAGAAAGAAACCTATAAAAAAAATTTAAAAAGTAGAAAAATCATTTTCTCACCTGATTCAGTCAGATCTAAAAGACGTTTTTCCAGGTCGTTTTCATCTTTTCTGCCCAGCCCTCTCGCTTCCGTGGATAAGATAAGCGTCAAGGCAAATAAAACTAGCATTTGTCTCATGGTGGAGTTCTGCATCAGAATAAATAAAGATAAACGCGTATTATCMCAAAGGAAAGCTTTTATCTTTAGATTATTTCGTCGAGCATGCGCAGTAAGAATAAGAGCTCTGGGTAAGAGATTGATGCATCCTGGTATTTTCTACTGAGCATGCGCGGCATTAATTGATCCGGAGTAGAAAAAGAAAAAAAAAAAAAAAAAAAAAAAAAAAAAAAAATGGCAGCCATGTTGGTCGTACTAACAAAACAGGCCTCATTTTTTTTAGCACGTGAATTTCCTTGATCTTCATTGGCTACTTTGCTATAATTGACGTACATTGGTCAGCCGAGTACAAAGTTGAAGTTCTTCACGTGCTTGCCACGTGATCCTAGCATGTGCTTTTGTTTCATTGGTTAATTCATGATGACGTAAAGCTTGTGCTTTATGCGTGTCAAAAGCGTGATAAACCGAGCAAACATGTCTTACATAGGATATTAATGAGATAGTTAAGACAGAGGTCAACAGTCCAAATGAAACTATTTACTTTTTCCTTCTACGAATTTAATTTCCTTTGACGCCAGCCTTTGTTTTTGAATTTTGTGTTTTACTTTGAAAAACGTCGTTCATTGAAACAAAGCATTCCATTTTCTTAAAAATTATAAAAATTTCAAAAACTAGCAAAATAAAACATTACAATTATGATATGAAGAGAGTTTAAGCTGTTTTAAATGGTTTTACACTTTGATTCTATTTACTTAGATTTTGGTGAGGCGTTAAATTAAAATCAAAAAAGCAGTTTAAAGGTTTGGAAATTTCAAGCAACTCTCAACTAAGGGAAATCATTGAAAGGCATAAAAAGAACTTTCTTCAAAAAAATCGTTTTTCAAAAGTTTACCAAACTAAACAAATATCGTAACCTTTACGAACTCGGGAAATTATTTCTTGGGCAAAATTCATTATGAAATAAGTTTGCATGTTTATAAGGCAGTATTATATCTATCGCTTTATATTTAAGCGTCAAAATTATTTCTGATTCACTTGTGAAATAGTTGCAAAATAAATAGAAGTTAAAAAAGATTTCTTAAGAAACTCGAGGATATCTATCCTCGTTAACGATTCTTAAACGAGAGGAACGAGAGAGATTCTTCGAGCAAGGAAAGGCATGATGTTGGAGTCTATTTCAGTTGTAATTGATAGCTTTTTCTTTATTAAAGAGTAAAGAAACTTTTTGGGACGGTTAACTTACAAATTGAACCCTAAAACAACCTCTGTGTTGATCTAAGTCAGGGCATGGCTACTTCCAGTCACAGATTGAACCCTGAAGTAACCTCTGGGCTGCAGGGCACGACTAAATCATAGATCGAGCCCTGAAAGAACCTGTTGGCTGATCTAAGTCAGGGCACGGATAACTCATAGATCGAATAGAGTTTTAGTATATAGAACTGTAGAATTTAGTGATTGTTAGACTTTTTTGTTTGTGACCGATGTTCTTGCCTGCAAAATATATTTAGTTTAAGAATCACACTAAATTAAAGAAGAAAAAGAAAAAGAAGAGGTTACCTATCAACAGTCGGCTTCTAATCCGGCGTCTCTCAAGTTTTAGTATATAGAACTGTAGATATAGAAGTCCGCTAAACTTTTTATAGATATCGCACGTAAACACCGCCTACATTAAAAGTCTGAGTCGACTCTATGGCTACCTACGGACATGACAATGACCCCAGCCGACAGCCTTTATCCCGTGCGAAACTGTCAATTTCAAATCAATTGATTTTAACGTTTTCATATGCCTTATGTCTCTGTTTTCCCATTGGTTGAAGGATACCAAGATTTCTACTTATGTCAATAGCTTAATGCTATCGAGAAAATGATCTATGATTGAATTCTATAAATTGTAATTATCTCAAGGACGATCGATATTCGTATTCAATAATCAGTGTGGTGTTGTTTTAACTCTGAACAAGTGATTTTGTCACCAATACATTTCATATCTTTTTTCAACCGTTTTATCTTTGTGCCTTGAGATCAAAGAATAGGTGATTTGGAGTACAAGTTTCGTTGTTTATTTAGTAACCATGGCATTTCATTAATGAATATGGCGGGAAAATAAACTACTTGGAGCCTGCCTAAAGTCTTGTAAGTACGGCTTTTTTCCAAAAAAAAAAAAAAAAAAAATTTTGCTCATTACGACCTTTTTATCTATTTGCATTAACTTTTGCCTTGAATTTCAGCGGAACCGACTTCAAAAATATTTTTCAATTTAAGTAAACAAGAACCCTATTAAGTACAGAAAATATGCTTTGTTCAATTTTGTTGACTTAATGTAGTCCTTTTAAATTCTATCTATGAGGGAAATATCACGAGAATTTGTTATCCCATACAGCTGCATGTTGTACCATAAGTAATCATTGTTTAAGTAAATGACTCTTTGACTATAAGACATCTGGTAATTTCTGTACTGAATTTTCTGGTCTAGAATGGAAGCTTTGCTAACAGCTCTGGGCTTACTTCAAAGTTTCTCAGCAAAGCAGCAATGAAACACTTGCAATATTTCTTTTAAGTTTTGCTTTAAAAACATTGGCAGTCCGAGACAAACTTGATAAATTAAGTTATGTGTATCTTCATAGAATTATTTTACGACCAAAAAATTAGTTAAGACAATTAGAACGGTTTATGGATTGTTGTTTAAGATGCTTAGCCATAACAATGGAAATCTTCTCCTAGCAACAGAATTTTCAATTCATTTTTGGATCTATTTCTTCCCAACTAGCCCATGACTTTCCATCCGATATTTTGCTTTGAAAAATTCTCTTTTTTAGCGGTTAGCAACGCCTTTGAAAAATAGATAGTGTACTGAAGAACTACCGAAAAACCTTTAATAAAGCTTTGCAAGTTTTAACTTTTTTTCCTGCATAAACTGAACGAGAGCGGAATCTTACCTTCGGGATATTTCTGCAACTAAATGTGCAAGAAGTTTTGAATATTTTTTCGTTGTTTTATAGCCCGCGCTGATTAAAGTCGACTGTACCTCGCAAAGCTGTAGCCCTGGATTTATGATCAAAGGAAAGGCAGTCTCGTTAATATTCAGGAATTTTGTATTTGACTTTAGATAGAAATTCTTGACGTTAAGTTAATGGTAAACAAACGTCAAAAAATTCCTAAGCTTCAATGGACTTTAAACATTTTTTTTCAGATGCGTTTTTAACTTCGATAAACTAAACAACGTTCAGGTCCTTTAAAAGAAACTTGAACTTCGCTATTGCATGGCTTTTTTTAAAATTTATCATCACAAGAGCCCCTGATCAGTTTTAGTACCTTTTCATGTTAATGTAGCATTGTCAATCAAATGTTTGATTGTTCTTGTGGCTGCTACGTCGGGGGATTTAGCAACTCCTACGCATGCACATGCATTTCTTGCTCACCAAGAGCTAAAATCACACAATTTCAGAGCCGTAGCAACTGGAGCGTTTTACCATCAGAACCATTTCCCCCTCGTAAAAAAGGAGAATATTTAAGAAAGTGTTTTCCATTTTCTTTAAAAACGGACCACTGTCCAAAGATCTTTTATGATGTTGAAACCACGAAATTCTTTTGATAAATAATTTCGATTACCAGCCCAAAGATGATTTTTTCAATCAATATTTATGAAATATATTATAAAGGTATTTTTCAGAAAACAACTTGAAATTAGTATTGAACGTGGTTCGTGAGCTGATTTTGGCTCTGAACATCTGCCGTCACTGCAACAATAAAAATAAAGTTTATAACGATATTAAGATAAACGATTTCAATTATAAGCAGAAAATACCTCATTATTCGGGCAGGGGGGACAAGCTACATCTAATTTCAAGTAGGTTAGCCGTGCCCTGACTTAGATCAGCCCAGAGGTTCAGTGATTTAGGATTGGATCTGTGAGTTGGCCATGCCCAGAAGCTGCTTAAGCGTTCGTTCGACCTACAAGTTGGGGTTCTGTGCCCTGCATGTTTGAATAGCTTATAGCCACTAAATCCACTACCGACACTAAGTAGTCTCGGCCCGATTTTGAAACTTTAACACACTAAAGGGCAATTATCTTACAAGATCCTGGCCGAGTTTCAGCTCCGTAGATTCACTTCGGACGAAGAAAATGGATGTGGAATTTTAAAAACCGCTTTACCAGCTTTAGACAGCACCTTCAACAGATCGATGGCTTTATTCAAAACAGGCTCTCCAAAACTCTAAAAAGATTAATCTTAAATCTTTGTTTTATATCTTTTGTTAGATGCACCAAAAATTCAAGAAAAGAAGAATAAAGACTGTTGAGTTTCGTCGCGTTTATTAAGTTCAAGTTATCACTAATTACAGTCATTCATGATATTGCTGAGTTTATTTGACTACGTGCCTCTTGTGTTTTTTCACTAATTTTTATGTTACGATACCACTTTCCTAGTTGAACCCCTACCCTACATTGGGAGGAGGAGAGGGAGGGGGAAGAATGTCTCTACTYTCCTCATTTCTCCTCCCCTCTCGAGCAGGCCAGGCACTTTTTATTGATATTATTTTATGTTATCAAAGTGTTGCTCAAGATCCTAAGAAATTTTTTTATCCGGAAATTTGTTTACTTTTTTCACACATGTAAACGCCTTTGTTTGGATAGTTACAGCGGATGTCGTTCCAGTACCCACCGTTGGCCAGGTATAAGTGAACACAATCCTCTTGTGCGTCTCCATTGTTGGGCTTGCCAGAGTGCCATCTAGTGTAYTGTCCAGACATTGTAGATCCGTCCACCCAAACGAAGTTCTTGTTCACATCTGAAAATGATTTAATATGAACACTTTATTGACATGCCGACGTRTCACATGATGATCTGAGTGTGTGAGGGATTTCGGATTCACCTCGGCTTGATTTCGGAATCTCTTTATGYTGGATTCTCGTCGGTTGGATTCCGGATTCTATTCGCCTAAATTCTGGATTGTAGCTGGTTGGATTTCGAATACTCTTTGTATGGATTCCGGATTCTCTTCGGTTAGATATCGGAATCTGGCATGACTTCTTAACAGGATTCACTGCTTTGATACAGGAGGCTCGGTCGCATTCCCGTACCCAGACCCCTCTCAGCGAAAAATCAAAATTTTTAGATTATTTCGTTAGAAAGCTGAGCCTTGGGTACGATAATGCCTCAGTCGTAAAACACTAAATACCAAATTGGTAATAATAATAATAATAATAATAATAATAGTAATAGTAATAATAATAATAATAATGATAATATTAACAATAATAATAACAATAATAATAATACCTTTGTGTAAACCGATCCACATGTACACCGACTTGTAGGCATAGGATCGTGCCAAGTTAAAGACATAGATGTTCTCTCTTAAAGACTCGATCTTGACGAGGTCACTACCCATGGCCAAGCATGCTTTACGAGCGTCTTTCCATTTAGTTACAGCACTGTTAACAAACCGGTAACATGACGTCGAACTGGCGTACGTTGTCCAACCAGCTGGACAAAAATCTGATTAAAAATGTATAACTTTTTAAAAACTTTACTTATTATAGAATACTACATTTTACAGTTCCATTCAATGACCACGAATAAAAATTCCTAGCCGAAGCTGTAGTTACCGTGCATGATAAACTTTAGTTTTGCTATGCGCAGCAACTCCAGCCTCGGCTAGGAACTATCATTCGTGGTCACTGAACGGTACTGTAAAATGGAGTATTGTCAAACGGTATATTTTCTCAACCTAACTAGTTCAAACTGGTTAGAGCTGTGCTCCTGGGTCATACATGGACAGTATAGCGGCGGCCAAAGGCACCTTCACATGCTCGACTCCGTTAAGCTGCGCCAATGCTGTACTTGCGGTGGTGATTAGCCATGAGAGTTTTTTTTACTAACAAAGATCTCACAGTTTGTATCAAAAATTCTTATCACTGATTCCTCCGATTGATTCTTAATCGATCCAATCTACAAAAAGATATAGAAATATAGATAAGTTATAATGCTTGGGAACGAGGTTATTCCGGGCGATAGCCCTTGGAATTAAATTCGGAAAAATTAATTTCCGACCTCGCTGGGAAACGAACAGCGAGGTCGGAAATTAATTTTTCCGAATTTAATTCCAAGGGCTCTCGCCCGGAATAACCTCGTTCCCAAGCATTATAACTTATCTATATTTCTATATCTTCATGTATTCCATAAGTTCTATGCGGTCCACATATTCTCAATCTACAAAAGCGTAGATCTCATGATCCAGTAACATTCGTTTTGACAAATGATTAAAATTAAAATAACAGATWAAATAAATAAATAAATCACTTTCTTTAAGAGGCAGTCTCTGTAAAAGCGGCCCACTGCATTTCGGGTCAGAAAATAGTTTTCCCTCAAACTTTTACCATAGAAAGGTAATTACTAGTAAGTAATGAAAATGACTTTATTTTCTCGAAATTCATCAAAATGATTTTTTTACAGCGCATAAATCCTGGACCACCTGGGCTGTTTAAGAAGATCAGATATATTAAAATAGATGCTTTTTGACAAGTTTTTAAAGTTATTTCAAGACAATAAAAGAAAAGAAATATAGTTTTGAAAAATATAATTTAGAAAAATTTGTTTACATTATCAATAAGTAATTTGCATAAACTTTAAAACAGGTCATGACCGCGTCAAACGCCATCATAACGTGTTTTTTG